CCAGACCAGCAGAAGCTTAACTGTATGTGTCCAGTGCGAGCACTGGACGCATACGTCCACAGAGCTGCGGTGGATAATGGATGCCATTTCTATTTCCTATGAGTCCTCTGATCTCCCTTCGCCTCTTGGGGTCAGGGCTCACTCCACTAGAAGTGTGGCAGCCTCCTAGGCCTTCCTGGCAGGTGTCTCCATGCAGGACATCTGCGACACCGCGGGATGGTCCATGCCCCTGACCTTCGTCAGGTTCTATGACCTAGACATGCGAGCCACTCCTGGCTCTTCTGTTCTCTCGCCCTAGCTGTGCAGTCTTCCACACTAGGCAGAGACTTAGAAGTCTGGCAGCGTTGGCAGTCGCGTTCCCCTAGCGTTTCCGACGCAGCTCAAGTTCCTGAAGAGGAAAGTCTCAGGTTACGTATGTAACCCTAGTTCCTCGAGGGAATGTGACGCTGCGTCTCGGTGCCATACTTCCGGCGTCCCTGCCAGTGCTTGCTTCATTCCTAGAAGCTGACGCTGGTCTCACCGCATGTGCTTTTATAGCTTCCTGGTCATTACGTCACCTGCCGTGACGTCTCGCCCATCTATTGGTCTGATTACACACGAGGTTCAGAGCCGTCACACTGAAGGGCGTTCCCCTAGCGTTTCCGACGTAGCGTCTCGTTCCCTCGAGGAACTAGGGTTACACACGTAACCTGAGACGTTTTTAGAAGAAAAAAAGTAGATTATGAGTCGCATTTTATTATTTCATTCAGAAATAGTCCTAATGCTGACGCAAAATGTTTACAGACATTATAATAAACACTGTAAACATAGCTAGGCTATATTAGTTCCCCTCACTCCAAAACAAAGCCTTTCAATTAACAGTATTTAGAAAAGAACAAGAATTAAAAATATAAGAAGCTATAGCTATATAATTGACAAGCCTAAACGAATTAATGTAGGCTAAAACGAAACTGAAACCAATGTTGGGTCTCTCATTCCACACAAAATCAAATGTTTCCGTATTCGTGATGTATTTGAATGCCAAAATATTATTTATTATGTAGCCTACTTCACTGGCGTTCCAATATCCACGTAAAACAAAATGTTTTGCATAATATCACGGTGGTACGGCGATAACGCTTAACGGCACAGACTTTACTACATATTTAAACAGCATTGTGTTTTTTTCCATATGTTTGACTGACTGTATTTTATTATGATAATGAACAGGCTGCATTGTCAAGGTAGCAAAACTTAACTGTGTGTGCGCATGTAGCGCCGGCGCAATCACTTGAGTTTTTTTCCTTCTAACAGTGGAAGGAACTACTCCTTTTAGTCATAAAGATAATCGGAATTGTAAAAGGTTTGCTTTTATTTGTGTACATTCACAAATACATTAACAAATCTTTGTGCTTTTGTAAATTAAGCCTAAAGAAAAATAGGATGCCGCTTTCTGCCATCTGTTTCCTTTCGCGCAGCCCAAAAATTAACCGAAATTCTGCATACTAGGCTACTTGTTGCAGTTTTTCTTTCGTTTTCTTAATTTATTATTTAAGCAAAAATATATTTCTTGTATAGGCCTATTTATTATTATTATTATTTTATTATTATATTAATATATTATTATTTATATATATATATATATATATATATAGCCTAGCTTTTTTATGTTTTTCTCCGCTCGCAGAAGCGCTGCAGGTGCGTGATGTGAAGACCATGTGAATCCTCATGTTCTGTTGTTTGCTGCTTTTTGCGCATGTAAAACTAATCCCGGGGAAACAAATGTTAGTATTTTTAACGGTTCACAGACACTTATACTTTCTAATTTAATTCAATTCTAATTTAAAATAATCTTGTTAACAGTTAATAATTGGTTAACGAGCGTCGGTTGTCGGTCAGGAAAAATAACCGAAATGAACATCCCTAAGCCCGACCGATATATTGTTTTGCCGTTTTTATCGGCCGATATGAACCTGTCGCAGATATAGCAGTATCGGCAAATATGCCACCGATATGAAATTTTTTTTACAGAACATAAAGCGCAAACAAAATGCTTGTAAATGGTGTAATTACATAGTTTGTCCAGCATAGCACGCTCCATTGTTTGCTTCTGGCGACTTGGATGAAACGCTTTATAGCTAAAGTGTATAGAATACCATTGAAAATTTGATTGGCCATATCTCCGTAAAGGCGCTGCGGATTCGCACCAAATTCGCGGGATCCCTTCAGCTCGAGGAACCCTCTCGAATGCCGAATCGATTGTACGTCTCGAGGCCTCCTTTCGAATGATACCACCCTCGCGTCAATAGCCCCCAGGGTCCGGGAGTTGCGGGCGGTTAAATCCGCTGTCCGGCGCTGACCGATCTGGCGATCCCGGGGGGCTACCAAAGCACGGAGGGTGGTGTGAAGGGATCCCCCGAATTTGGTGGAGAATCCGCCGCAATGCAAAATTGCAATGATCAATGCAAAAAATTGATCAATGCAAAAAATGTGTTTGTTTATATATTCCGTTTATGTATATACTGTATTCTATATATAGTACCAGTCAAAAGTTTGCACACACAAATGGGAAAGTGTGTGTTTATAGTACAGTACCAGTCACAATTTTGACTGGTACTGTACTATAATATACACAAAGAATATCGGTCGATATATCGATATCAGACATTTTTTACTCCCTAATATCGGTATAGGCCCCCAAAAAACCCATATCGGTTGGCTCTATCTATAACACAATGCTTTATATAATATTAATCTGGCAAATAAAAAAAACAACTATGAGTTATATTTAAAATTATTATTATTGTTTGTTTATTTATTTATTTATTTATATATATATTTTTTCAGTTTTAAAAACAGTCTATTGCCATCACCCAGTGCATTAAACAATAATCATCAATTAGTCTTTCAAACGCAAAAAGATGTCATTCATTCTAGTAGCTTTAAATGTGTGGATCACTTGTTACTCTGCGTTTTCAGCTAGAGTTGACCAGCCTTTGCTCTTTGATGCCTGCCATTTTATAATACCTATTGCATCTTCTCCGAATACTCTTATGTCATGCTTTTCTGATTTGCATCTATCCACTTATTTCATAAAACTGTCTACTGAGAACATTACAAATATTGAGATTAGTGGTTAATTGATGATGTCATGATATCTTGGCAAATGGAGTGTAACCATTTGCTTTTGTAGATTTAAGAATCCTGCCGACTCAAATGCTTTGGACTTTTTTCAGGTTATGATATTTCTGAAAAATGTTTTAGCTTGCTCAGAGGTGGAGTGGGCTCTGTGCGCTTCTGTTCATTTGTGCCTCAATCGTGCTTGTTCATCTTTCTGCCCGTAGTCCCAATGCCTCCTGCCTGAGCTTCCTGGTGGAGAAGACACGCCCTACCATAACAAATTCCTTCTGGAACTGCTGGTTCAAATATCACAAGTATATAAGAGTGTTTCCTTTTTTTCTGCTGTACTTTGTATTGGCCAGTTTCTAAGGCAGCAGCACCAGAATGCACTAAAACAAGCTTGCCAAAAAAAATGTAGATCGTAAATATGTTTTGTTTAGTACTGACAAGTAATAATAATAAAAACAGGCCCATCTAATTTAACAGTAACATATGGTACATTACTTTCACACATTTGTGATTGAGAACATTTTTCACATTCACACAATTCACACAAACAGCTATTCAAACCCTTATTTTCTAGCAAATATATTTAGTGTAAAGAAAAAATAAATAAATCAATAATCTAATAAATAGACACACAGAAGACGTCTCACATTCAAGTCGGTTACACGACTCATGTTCAACAGTACACAAAATGTTCAGTTAAATTATTGCAGTATTCAAAACCAGATTCTCACATTCAACAGAGTTGCATGACTCATTCAATATTGCACATAATGATCAGTTAAGTTATTGCATTATATAAAACAGATATGGCTTGGCATGTAAACTATTAATCTTACATTCAACAGAGATGAATACTTCATGTCTACAACACACATGATGTTTCACAGTCACCGCTGATGAAAAGAGGCTGAATGTCTGTTTTCTTCCTTTTGAAGTCTATTATTAGCTCCTTGGTCTTGGTGGTGTTCAAGATCAATTTGTTTTTTGTACACCACACAGACAACTGCTCCACCTCATCCCGGTAGGTGGACGCGTCCCCCCCAGAGATGAGCCCCACCACGGTGGTATCATCAGCAAACTTAATTATAGTGTTACTGGCATGGACAGGGGTGCAATCATGTGTGTAGAGGGTGTACAGTAGGGGGCTCAGCACACAGCCCTGAGGAGAGCCGGTGCTGAGGCTGAGAGCTGAGGAAGTGCGAGAGGCTAAGCTTACCCTCTGTGAGCGATCAGTAAGGAAGACCATGATCCAAAGACAAACGGAGTGAGATATTCCCAGATCTGACAGTTTAGACACTAGCATGTTGGGGAGGATGGTGTTAAACGCTGAGCTAAATTCTACAAATAACAGCCAAGCATAGTTAACCTGCAGCTCCAGATGGGACAGAGCAGTGTGGAGGGCTGTTGCTATGGCGTCCTCTGTGGACCTATTGACTCTATAGGCAAACTGGTATGGGTCAAACCCGGGTGGGAGATGTAAGATGATGCGAGTTTGAACCAGTTTTTCGAAGCACTTCATAATAAGAGGTGTCAGTGCTATTGGGTGATAATCGTTCAGGCTACTGATGACAGTCTTTTTTTGAAGTGGGACTATTGGAGCAGACTTCAGGCAGAGTGGTACAGCGGCCTGGGACAGGGATTGGTTAAGGATCATAGTAAAGACCCCAGCCAGCTGATCTGCGCATTCCCTCAGCAGCCATCCAGGGATGCCATCGGGTCCCGTAGCTTTTCTCAGGTTCACTTCCCTCAATGTGCGTCTCATCTCGTGCTCCTGCACTGTGAGGATATGGCTGCTGTGTGTTAATGGATGTAGTGTGGTTTCCTCCGGTGACACCACCTCAAAGCGGGCGAAGAAGTGGTTCAGCTTCTCTGCCAGCGACGCATCACCACCATCAGCCAAGAGGTTGCTGGGTTTGTAGTTGGTAATATACTGTACCCCTTTCCACACCTCCCTATAGTTGTTGTTCTGGAAGCAATCATCGATCTTCCTCCTGTGTTCAGCCTTAGCTACTCTGATTCCTCTCTTCAGTTTGGCTCTGGCCGCACTATACAGCTCTTCATCACCAGCCCTGAACACAGCGTTCCTCTCCATGAGCAGGCACTGCACTTCTTTGGTCATCCAAGGCTTCTTGTTAGGATAAACCCGGATGCGTTTTTCCACTGTAGCAGAGTCCATGCAGTACCTAATGTAGGCGAGGAAAGCTGTTGTATACTGCTCCAAATCCTGATGTTTGAAAACATCCCAGTTTGTTAACTCGAAACAGTCCTGCAGCTCAAGAGAGGCACCTTCAGGCCAAGTTCTGACAGTTCTGAATGTGGTAGAAACACTTTCTTAGGGGGGTGTAAGCTGGAATTAAAAGCAGGGACATGTGGTCTGACTGGCCCAGATGTGGTCATTGCTTAACCCTGAAGCCCCATTGAACTGTCCATTTAAAGGAAAATGAACAATCAGTAATAAAACAAGAAAAAATAAACACATTACAAGCAATAGAGCAAAGTAAACAATGCTTTCAGGTTTTTCAGGTGGGTCTAACAGTTAGGGGTGGGCGATATGAGCTCAAATTTATATCACGATATTTTACACTGTTCAGGCGATATCTACATTATATTGCAATGTGAGAAAGAAAAAAATTACAGGCAAAATATTTTATATTTATATATTTTACCTTATATAACTAGAAAAAAGTGAGGGATTGAACATAGACCTGAAAAGTCTTTTTTTTTTATTGTGCCATTGCAAAAAGTGCAAACTTGCAACATGAGGTAGGCCTGTATGAATTAAATTAAATATTGTGTGTTTGAGTAGGCCAGTGGTTCCCAAACTTTTTCTGCCGGGCCCCCCTTTTGTAGAGAAAAATATTTTCAATTTTTTTTTTTTTTGGAAAGTCTCTTATGCTCACTAAGGGTACATTTATTTATTAAAAATACAGTAAACACTGTAATATTGTGAAATATGGTCAATTTAAATGATCAATTTGAATGTTTTAACATAGGCTATTGTATTCCTGTGATGCAAAGCTGAATTTTCAGCATCATAACTCCAGTCTTCAGTGTCACATCATCCTTCAGAAATCATTCTAATATGCTTTGCTGCTCAGTCACCATTTCTGATTATTATCAATGTTGCAAACATTTGTGCTGCCTAATATTTTTGAGGAACCTATTTTTACACGATTCTCTTATGAATATTTGAAATTGTTCTTTGTGTCAGAGCGCTGAAGTTTGTCAGAAATAGAATGGATTTGTCGCGTCGCATCCACAGCAGAAAACATCACTGGGTTCTATTTGCTTTTGACACATCGCGCCACTCGTGTATAGTGTGGACACGTTATTTTGGTATTTGTGAATCTTAAGTATATTCATAGTCTGCTTTAAGTTTACCTGGCACTGGAAGTCCTTTCACAAACTTGTAACTTTTATGCTTAGAGCAGAACCACACATCGTTCATTTATATTTCTACATGGCTGCCTGCAATACAACTCTGATTCTTCAATCGCGCCATCTAGTGGTCTGTTATTGGTGCAACCACGACTGCTACAACTGATAACGGAGCACTCAAGCGGGTACTGCGAGTCATGTTGAGGTAATTAAAATCTGTCAAATTAATATTTTGCATTCAACTATTTACTTATCAGGCAAGTGGCCGCATGATAAGCAGGACAATTATGTAGTGTAGTCTTTATCGCCCTGCAGAGGTTTCTTTTGCAAAATAATCTGCTGACTGTACACGATCCCTCAGCCTTGCCACACCCCTCAGTTTGGGAACCACTGGAGTAGGCGGTTTGTGCTCTGTTAATTTGGTCTGTTACGATGCTCTGTGTTTGATTACTAATGCCTGTGTAGTACGGCGTTGTTCAACTATTTACTTATCAGGCAAGTGGCCGCATGATAAGCAGGACAATTATGTAGTGTAGTCTTTATCACCCTGCAGAGGTTTCTTTTGCAAAATAATCTGCTGACTGTACACGATCCCTCAGCCTTGCCGCACCCCTCAGTTTGGGAACCACTGGAGTAGGCGGTTTGTGCTCTGTTAATTTGGTCTGTTACGATGCTCTGTGTTTGATTACTAATGCCTGTGTAGTACGGCGTTGCACACAGAGGACCAAAACTTTCAGCCTCGACTCTTTATCGTCATTTGTGTTAAAAATGGCTAGTTTTGAACCGCACACTCAAATGCTCACGAAGAAGAGCACTTGCGCGTTCGGCCAAAGAATGTAAGTGGTTAAATGTACTTGCACTTCGGCTTTTATGCTTTGATGTGAGATTAACGTAAACACAGCCCACTGTGAACATCCTTGTAATTCGCTTCAACCAAACTTTATGAATGATTATTTTAGGTTCAAGTGGTGCGTGTGTAAGGAACTGGAAGCAAGCAGAATACGGCTATTTCTAAAGCAGGCAGCGCCATCTGCTGCTAAAAACTAAGCTCAGAATCGATTCAAGAGAGAATCGTGATGCCTTTGGAAAATCTAAGAATCGATGCAGAATCATTTCTCGATTTGCGATGCATCGATTTATTTTCCCAGCCCTATTGTCAAGTGCAGGGAGAGATTTTCTTTTTGTCTTGTGTTGTTTGATTAGTATTAATGACAGCTGGTAAATTAGGCTGCTGTCACTTTAAGACCTAATGCACAGATCTAATATACTAATGCACTTCTGATTTCTTTCTTGACTATTTACATTTAGACATAACCGAGTGTATTTTCACATAATTTGTTTGCATTTGTCCGTTCAAGCGCAAAAACACGTGAAAGAGAACTCAACTCAATGTTAGAATTATCGAATGGTGTTCTTTTTCTCGTCGTCTTGCGCTTGATTGGTTTAAATCGCTTGAATGTTTAAATTGGCAAGACTTGTGCCTATGATAAACTTTCATGACAATGGTTCAGTCAGCTGTTCCGAGTGTCTTTCACGCTGGCTCCAGGTCATCGGCCAGTCCTTATAGTCGAGCCCTGAGGTTAACGTGAGCAGCATTATTTGTTCATTAGGTTTGAAGGACCGTGCTGCCCATGTAGTTTGTTTCGGCTCAGCTCACAGAGATGTAGTGTCGGGGGACAGATATGTTCAGAAGGTTTTGCATGAAATGACCAGAGCTGTTGATTTTGTTTCTGATTGCGGATTGAGTTCCGCTTGCTACATGCTCAATTTGTAAGCGTTTGAGGCTGGGGGCTGTGAATGGCTTCGATTCTCACTCACTTAGAGTGTATTTTTAACCTGTTGCAGACGTTTAAGATGTTCCAGGCCCATCGGGGGTCCTGCTTCAGTGTTTTAATTACCCGCTCCAAATCTCATCAAGAACTTCCTCTTTAATGCTGTCGCTGTGTTGATGGAGTCAGGCGGTCATTTGAGCGTTGAGCAGCTGAAATCTGGTTCTGTGCATGTGCTGCGGCCCACAATGGAGTCAGAGCAGGTCACAAACCAGATAAAACACTTAATTAAGCTTTAACAGGATAAGCTGCCCAAACACTCCTGATTCATTCATTTGATTTTCTCAAAGCTGCATCCCACGTGAGCCGCCTGACTCGCTTTCTCATTGAAATGTTTTCTCAGATGGGTTGTCTCAGTTTTAGCTCATTTGAATTTTGAATGGAAACATAATAGACAGGGTTTATAGTCATCAGGAAGTACAGGAACATTTTTAGAGGAAAACTTAATTATGCATCTTTATTATGCATGCACTGTGTATAACTATTTATTTTGAGAAAGTTCGGAGACTGTGGGATTTCCACTGCACAATTTACAATAAATGACTCAAACACAATATTTAGATTTACAGGCAAATTTTTAATCAAGGACCAAGATGTGCTGGAAAAAAATTACACTGTGCATCTTGGTTTGATGGTATTGGATGTCCCTTTAAAATGCTTGTGGGATGTGATTGGCCCTCTTGCACTGTGATGTATGTAGCCTACATTTGGCCATCTGCTGTGTTTGAAGGGTAAACCATAATAGCACAGATTTGGTGGTTAATGGAGGAGCTGGCCAAGAGGAAACAAACCCCATGAAACATTTCTCACTTCTGTTCAGGTGTCCCGCCATGAGAGACAAATCTCCCAGATAGAACAGCTCAACCAGATGCCTCTGTACCCCACTGAGAAGATCATCTGGGACCAGAACATCGTTCCCACTGAGTACTACTCTGGAGAAGGTGGGCATCAGCGCATACGAGTTCACCATATAATCATCATACTATTGTGTCTCATACCTATGCATTAAGGAAATTAGAGGAATAGTTCAACAAAAAATAGATGTACTCTTTTACTCTTTCCTAACCTGTATTACTGTATTTCTTCATTTTGAAGAATGATCAGCTCTTTTCCGTACAACAACAGTTCATAGTGACCAAGTATTTCAAGTTCCATAAAGCACAAATTATGTATAAAAATGTCATAACTTGGCCCACATGACTCATGTATTATTTATGAGGATTTTGTGTGTGTGTGTGTGTATGTATGTGAGGAACATGCACATATTTCTGTCATTATTTACTGATAATCTTCCCTTCCAAAGAAGCTTTGAAAAATGCCAAAAAATAATCATTTGTGTTAAAAATGGCTAGTTTTTAACCGCACACTCAAATGCTCACGAAGAAGAGCACTTGCGCGTTCGGCCAAAGAATGTAAGTGGTTAAATGTACTTGCACTTCGGCTTTTATGCTTTGATGTGAGATTAACGTAAACACAGCCCACTGTGAACATCCTTGTAATTCGCTTCAACCAAACTTTATGAATGATTATTTTAGGTTCAAGTGGTGCGTGTGTAAGGAACTGGAAGCAAGCAGAATACGGCTATTTCTAAAGCAGGCAGCGCCATCTGCTGCTAAAAACTAAGCTCAGAATCGATTCAAGAGAGAATCGTGATGCCTTTGGAAAATCTAAGAATCGATGCAGAATCATTTCTCGATTTGCGATGCATCGATTTATTTTCCCAGCCCTATTGTCAAGTGCAGGGAGAGATTTTCTTTTTGTCTTGTGTTGTTTGATTAGTATTAATGACAGCTGGTAAATTAGGCTGCTGTCACTTTAAGACCTAATGCACAGATCTAATATACTAATGCACTTCTGATTTCTTTCTTGACTATTTACATTTAGACATAACCGAGTGTATTTTCACATAATTTGTTTGCATTTGTCCGTTCAAGCGCAAAAACACGTGAAAGAGAACTCAACTCAATGTTAGAATTATCGAATGGTGTTCTTTTTCTCGTCGTCTTGCGCTTGATTGGTTTAAATCGCTTGAATGTTTAAATTGGCAAGACTTGTGCCTATGATAAACTTTCATGACAATGGTTCAGTCAGCTGTTCCGAGTGTCTTTCACGCTGGCTCCAGGTCATCGGCCAGTCCTTATAGTCGAGCCCTGAGGTTAACGTGAGCAGCATTATTTGTTCATTAGGTTTGAAGGACCGTGCTGCCCATGTAGTTTGTTTCGGCTCAGCTCACAGAGATGTAGTGTCGGGGGACAGATATGTTCAGAAGGTTTTGCATGAAATGACCAGAGCTGTTGATTTTGTTTCTGATTGCGGATTGAGTTCCGCTTGCTACATGCTCAATTTGTAAGCGTTTGAGGCTGGGGGCTGTGAATGGCTTCGATTCTCACTCACTTAGAGTGTATTTTTAACCTGTTGCAGACGTTTAAGATGTTCCAGGCCCATCGGGGGTCCTGCTTCAGTGTTTTAATTACCCGCTCCAAATCTCATCAAGAACTTCCTCTTTAATGCTGTCGCTGTGTTGATGGAGTCAGGCGGTCATTTGAGCGTTGAGCAGCTGAAATCTGGTTCTGTGCATGTGCTGCGGCCCACAATGGAGTCAGAGCAGGTCACAAACCAGATAAAACACTTAATTAAGCTTTAACAGGATAAGCTGCCCAAACACTCCTGATTCATTCATTTGATTTTCTCAAAGCTGCGTCCCACGTGAGCCGCCTGACTCGCTTTCTCATTGAAATGTTTTCTCAGATGGGTTGTCTCAGTTTTAGCTCATTTGAATTTTGAATGGAAACATAATAGACAGGGTTTATAGTCATCAGGAAGTACAGGAACATTTTTAGAGGAAAACTTAATTATGCATCTTTATTATGCATGCACTGTGTATAACTATTTATTTTGAGAAAGTTCGGAGACTGTGGGATTTCCACTGCACAATTTACAATAAATGACTCAAACACAATATTTAGATTTACAGGCAAATTTTTAATCAAGGACCAAGATGTGCTGGAAAAAAATTACACTGTGCATCTTGGTTTGATGGTACTGGATGTCCCTTTAAAATGCTTGTGGGATGTGATTGGCCCTCTTGCACTGTGATGTATGTAGCCTACATTTGGCCATCTGCTGTGTTTGAAGGGTAAACCATAATAGCACAGATTCGGTGGTTAATGGAGGAGCTGGCCAAGAGGAAACAAACCCCATGAAACATTTCTCACTTCTGTTCAGGTGTCCCGCCATGAGAGACAAATCTCCCAGATAGAACAGCTCAACCAGATGCCTCTGTACCCCACTGAGAAGATCATCTGGGACCAGAACATCGTTCCCACTGAGTACTACTCTGGAGAAGGTGGGCATCAGCGCATACGAGTTCATCATATAATCATCATACTATTGTGTCTCATACCTATGCATTAATGAAATTAGAGGAATAGTTCAACAAAAAATAGATGTACTCTTTTACTCTTTCCTAACCTGTATTACTGTATTTCTTCATTTTGAAGAATGATCAGCTCTTTTCCGTACAACAACAGTTCATAGTGACCAAGTATTTCAAGTTCCATAAAGCACAAATTATGTATAAAAATGTCATAACTTGGCCCACATGACTCATGTATTATTTATGAGGATTTTGTGTGTGTGTGTGTGTATGTATGTGAGGAACATGCACATATTTCTGTCATTATTTACTGATAATCTTCCCTTCCAAAGAAGCTTTGAAAAATGCCAAAAAATAATAAAAAAAAAATCTGGTGAATGTCATTAATGCAAAACGCCACGTGGTGCCTTGATTGTGTCTGTTTATGCAAAATTGTAAAAAGCTGCGTGAAGATTCTTCAAAAATTCTTCTCTGTTCTACAGAAGGAAAAAAATGGTTGAGTAAATGATGAGTAAATAAAGACCGAATTTTCCTGTAGGTAATACAATTTTAATGGTGATGCACCAAAATGCCAACAACAGGAAATAGTTTGAAACCGTTTTGGATGGCTGAAATTATATTCAACATCGAATTTGAGTAGAAGCATAATTAAAAGGTTTAACTTAATTATTTTTAAATATGTACAACTTTTATATATATATACAAAGATTTGTGTTTTAGTGTTGATTATGAAATCAATTTGATTTAATAATATCTAATATTAATATAGATAATATTAAATAAATTTTAGTTTTTGGCTAAATGAAACTTGAATTTCTTACCAAACCACTGACCACTAAATTCATTTCAGTGCATCACTACATTTTAAGTTTTAAGCAGTGCGAGTGTAAAAAACGTAACCTAAAATTCAGTAAAACAGTCTAAAACTCTTTTTGTTGTTGTTGTTGTTTGTGAATCTGCAGGTTGTTTAGCTCTCCCCAAGCTGAACCTGCAGTTTCTGACCCTGCATGACTATCTTTTGAGAAACTTCAACCTCTTCCGCCTGGAGTCCACCTATGAAATCCAGCAGGATATCGAGGACGTCGTGTTAGGATGAAGCCATGGTTTGCTCTCATTCTAAAACATTTTCAGCATCTTAACAAAAGATTTTGGTTTTCATATTGATTTTCCTCTAAAGGCCATTTCCCATGACTTGCATCAGGACTTTTAGGAGGTGTTTTGGTAGCAAGAATGTAGAAAATGTGGCCAAAATAGTGAAAGCAGATCAAATAAAAAGTCATCGCAGTTACTTTGATAATCATTGCCATCACAAAAAGAAAAATGCCCCTGTCGTGATAGTTGAGATAGAACTCAATTTGTTGTCATTTTGGAGCTTGATAACCCCTGGACTTCATTGGCAAAGAAGAGCGTGAGCGTCCTGGTTTATGATCTGCTGTGTTTGTGTGCTTGTGTCCCGCAGGCAGTCGGAGTACGGAGGAGTGGTGTTTGGAGGATGTGCTAGAATGGCCCAGACCATAGTGTCGTTTTCTATTGTGGAGGTGGCCAAGCCAAACATCGGAGAGAACTGGCCTGCGTCACCATAACCTCAACATCCGGGATAACATCAAAACCGAGTGGGAGGGTAAAGATGACTCCGCAAGCACTAGCAACACATCTAAAAACTACTCACTACACATGAAAACATCAAGCAATCCCAGAGTTATCAACAACGAAAAGATTGTTAAAATAAAATATTAAAAAAATTAATCTGGTTGCCAAGGCAACATTTCTCATTTTCATTTAAAGTGCTAAAATAACTAAAACTAAAAACAATGTAAGAAATCTATTAAAAATGACAAAAATACACAACAAAATTGCTAAAAATTTTACTATAATTAAAATGAAAAGAGAAAATATCAAACTTAATTCAAAATATTAACAAAATCTATAATAGTTTATTAGTGACACTAAAATAACACTTGCTCAAGCCTTTTGACGGTGAGTTTTAAATGATCAAATATCAGCATGATAAATTAATTCTGTTCTACTAAATCCCACCCTCAGACATAAAGCCCTTAAACAGCCAATACATATTAGAGAAATGGCACGCAGAATGGCTAGAATGTCAAAATAACAAACGATTTGAAATAAATCCTGTTGCTTTTATTGAAGGTTGAAGAAGCTGCAAAATGTCAATGTTGTAGCACCAACTTCTGCCTGATTTTTATTATGACAAAATTATTTTTTATCAGAACAAACTTTTAAGGGCTTATTTGTGACCCTGGAGCACAAAAGCAGTGTTGAGTCACTGGGGTATATTTGTAGCAATAGCCAACAATACATTGTATGGGTCACAATTATACATTTCTCTTTTATGACAAAAATCATTTTTGGATCAATCAAATTTCCTACCATAAATAAATTAAAACTTGATTTTTGATTAGTAATATGCATTGCTAAGAACTTCATTTGGTCAACTTTAAAGGCGATATTCTCAATATTCACTCAGATTCCAGATTTTCAAATAGTTGTATCTCGACCAAATATTGTCCTATCCTAACAAACCACACATCAATGGAAAGCTTATTTATTCATTGCTTTCAGATGGTTTCAAATTCAAAAAAAATTTACACTTAAGACTGGTTTTGTGGTCCAGGGTCACA